AGAATCATTGATACATTTTTCAGTGAGTAAATAGTCTAAGAGTTCATCACCAAATTTTTTTCGATTATCCTAGATATAGCTGGATTAATATCTATGAGTCGATAATTGTTCATGTCAGTTTTATCGCCAGATTTGTAACGCGGTGCGATATATACGGCTTTCCAACAGTGATGGTAAGTATCTGTCCCGAGAGAGAGAGAGAGAGAGTAAACAGCTTTAGAAGAAGAACTGGAATACCTGGTCCACCATATATTTAAATAAAGGATGAATTCCCGTCTACTCAATGAGCTCTTAAAACTTTAAGGGAGTTTATAGCCCTACTAATTTTTAGGTATGTGAACGAGATAGATTTTATTGAGTTCCTAGTCATATACCTGACTCTTGAAACAGTGCCCATTAGGAATCCACTATTGTTCGCATAAATACCACCAAAAAGGTTTGCAATGGTTTTGGAGTCATTTATAAAAGTGCCATTATCCATTGTACACCTATTGTATATCAACATTTTGAGTTGCTTTAACACGTTAATTGAGAAGGAGAATTAAGCCTTTCACCTTTGAGCTATTATTAAGTGCTAACAACTCCTGATTAATGGCTGTTAACCCTGTACTTTTCTTTGATTCGGTTAACAATTATGGTTATTTGTGCAACTACCGTGAAATTGTTTGACTTAAACTAGCGTTTCTACAAGTGTCTTAATTTATTACAATATTTAGCTGGTATAAATAAATCGTTAGGTTTACTAAACATGTATATTTTAAGAGATGCGCAGGGATCTAAACAGTAGATAATGCTAGTCAGGAATTGAGTGTCTGGCAGCAGAAGTTTGAGAAGATCTAAAAGGAAACAACGGGAACAGAAAGCAATCGATATGGAGATGCAGAAACAATAAAGTCTGAGACGATTAATAAACATTTTGCAAATGAAGTATTGGATTATGGTTTTTGTATTTTATTCAGTAACTCTGTACTTTTGTGCTAAATATAATCTGTGGTGCTCACCTGTGTTCTCCTTCACTACATTGTTACTTCAACATGGTGTTCTGACTCGCATATTGTGATAATTTAGTCAAGCTACGTTAGTTTGAATATCCGTTTCTTCAGATCTAACAGTTGTTACTAGGTGATATTATCAGAAAAAAGGGAACAGTTTCCTGTTAAAATGAAGCAAATTATTATTTATATTTTCACTGTTTAAATACTAAACACTTCGATTATTCAACTCTTATATTAGGCTGTTTGTAAACGCTTTTTTGATGTATGGAAATGTTGAAAAGAACAAAGATTCTAGCAGAATAGCATGAAGTCATTTTATTTCGTTGATTCCCGTTAGCTGCTTACAACCTGTGATATTTAAAATTATAGTTACTACATGGGTTTAAATTATTTACATGAAAAGGTTTAGTTGAAAGTTACTTTGAAGATATATCAGTGTAATACACTTACTTACTTACTTACGCCTGTTACTCTTCGTGGAGGAGTATAGGCCACCCAATACCACTCTCCATCCAATCCTGTCCTGGGCAACCCTTACCAGTTGTTTTTTATCCTTTTCATATGTGCTTCTATTACCTGACGGAATGTGTTTTTTGGCCTACCTCTTTTCCATTTCCCTTCAGGATACCATTTCCAACGTCTATTCCTAATTTCCTCTTCAGCTGGAAGTTGGTTTGTTCTCTCCAACAGAAAGCTGTTTCTGTTGGTATTCGACGAATGGATGTTGAATATATTGTGTAGACAACTGTTTATAAATATTTGTACCTTCTTGATGATGGTTGTCAGTAATATAGGAAAGGTGTAAATAAATTTAATAGGCTGAATGAAATATTGTAAATATATACCTTATGTCAACCAATCCACGAAGTTGCGCCACCATATACCATTGTCTTCAGTGAGCTGATATCTCACAACAGACCTAGTTGAACTCCACTGGTAACGGCTTCCCACTAGAACTCCAGGAGTATCTCTTGAAGTCAGTCACTAGTGAGCAGATGATCATTATCAGAAGGGGTTTGTGGAGATTTTTAGAAATTTTCAGAGATTGAAATCATGAGTCAGTTGAAGCTAGACCACCATTGAAAACCTGGAAGCACTGGACGGCCGTTTCGTCCTAGTATGGGACGACTCAGCAGTGCGCATCCACGATCCCGCACCACGCGGGACTAGGACGAAACGGCCGTCCAGTGCTTCCAGGTTTTCAATGGTGGTCTAGCTTCAACTGACTCATGATCTCAACCATTGAAAAATTATTTAATAAGTATAGATGATTGATAATTTATTCAATAAATGAATAGACAAATCGAATTTACAATACATTTGATGACTGTACTCAATTACTATTCATTTAACCAGTCGATTATTATTCAAACGATCACACTTACCAAATGATGACCATTTTGACCGGGTAAAAGGTTGATCTAATCAACTATAATTTCAACGAATAATTGGTTAGATTTATCTATTAAAAACGATCAGATATATTAATGCTTGTAATTAGAAGAAAATCATTCTAGCACGGAATTCTAAAGTCAACAGTTAAAAATTGTCACTATTTTTTTAAGATCAGTATCAGTCAGTTATTTCTGAGTAAGTCATTTTAAACTAATGTTTGCCTTATATCGATTGATATAATAAATACAAAACTTTATTTCCTTACACCTGTTACTCCTCGTGGAGGAGCATAGGCCGCCAACCACCACCACTCTCCATCCAACTCTTTCTTGGACAATCCTTTCCAGTTCTTTCCTGTTGTTATTCATCCTTTTCATATCTGCTTCTATTTCCTGACGCAGTGTATATTTTGGCCTTCCTCTTTTCCATTTCCCTTCGGGATTGCAAGTTAGGGCTTACCTCGTAGTTCGGTTTGTGTTATATCACGATGAGTATAATGAATGGTAACTTTCGAGTTCGATTTAAGGATTAATACTATACATATATTTTTATGGTTTAATTGTTAAGTAACTAAACTATTCATATTCGTGTTCCTCTTAACATAAGCTTTATTTTATCTGTGGAATATTATTATACGATTTACCATTCTTGAGTTATGGCCTGTCTGTTAATTACTATATCCCTCATTCACAGCCATTTTTGGCTAGATCTTTTACAAATATTGTTTCCTATTTTATGGTACGATGTGGTCTGTCTGGTTGGTATATAAACCCAGTATGTTTGAAATAAATGATACATATCGCAGAGGCTGAGATTGATGTTCTGGACTTAACAGGCAGGGTTAGGCAGAAAGTAGAACCTGTGGAGACTCTAGACTGCTCGTACGGGTTTTATGTGTCATTGGCCCGGTTGATATTTCATTGTTCTCTAATTGACGATATTATTACGTTATACACTGATAGGGGCAAAAACTCACAAGTTACAACAGTTTGATGATTTCCGTAATCTATGTCCTATTCACTTCCAACGTCTTTTCATAATTTCTTCTTTAGCTGGAAGCTGGTTTGCCTTCTCCCATAATAGGCTGTTTCTGATAGTATCCGGCCAATGGATGTTGAGTATCTTGTGTAGACAGCTATTTATAAATACGTGCACCTTGTTTATGATGGTTGTAGTAGTTCTCCAAGTTTCAGCTCAGTACAAGAGAACAAGCTGTCTTAACGTTTGTATTGAAGATTATAGTTTTCATATTGGTTGACAGACAGTTGTTTTCAGTTCCATATATACTTTAATTATACGGATGTGGCCCTTGCTTTGCCAACCCTCGCCTTCACGTCTTCATCTAATCCTCCTTATTCATCGATGATGCTTCCCAGATATGTGAAGGATTCTAAATCTTCTAGAGTTTTGTCATCAAATATTGATTAGGTCGATATTCTCCATGTTGTATTTAAGAGTTTTCTAGCTTAGGAAACTTAAGATTTTTCTCATAATTCTACATTCTAAATTGACTAATTGACTTATGAAACTTTCACATTTCATTCAACTTTACGTTGATTTTGTTCACCAAAAAAAAAACAAAAAAAAATCATGAAACCTTTCTCAATTCCATAGTTACTTTTTTTTGTTTTTCAACATTTAATTGTTTCAGGTTTAATATTTTTTTTAAAAAAAATAAATAAATAAATAAATGTAAATAGAATTTGTTATTGTCCTTGTAACAAATAAAAACTCGATGATTTAAACAATCATTCTAGACATTTACAATCTCATTTATAAATTGAGTTAATCATATTTTGGTCAAACTATATATATTTACAAAAAAATTTTCTGTTGACAGTACATAAGAGAGAGAGAGAGGGAGGGAGAGGGAGAAAAGGAGAGAGGGAGAGGGAGGGCGAGAAAGAAACACCTAACACTCACCTCCCAACTATAATAACCCGATTTACATTATTAATTACACAACGAAGGATTGTTTTTGTTTTGTTTTTTTGTTTTGGTCAACATTCTAAACCGATCAACTCACATTGAACGAATATACCATGTATAGTTCAAACACAAGTTGTTGTTGTTGTTGGTGGTGGTGGTGATGTTTTTATTTGGCTAACAGTAAGGTCATTTCATTCATCAGTTTTATTACAGTCAAAATAGGCAAATCAACTAATAATCAGTCTAAGCAACAACAACAACAACAAGTCCAAATGCTTCCATAATAATAATAATAATAATAATAATAATAATAATAATAATAATAATAATAATAATAATAATAATAATAATAATAATGGTAATTCAATCATATAAATCTTAATTAAAAGTCAAGTATCTATTCTTTTCTATTTATTACATCATAAGTTCATTCTGCCGAATGATTAAACATGTGTTACAGACTAATAATTATTTATTTATTTATTTATTATAATCATATGGATATTGACCAGAAATTTCTTAATCATAACAATCATATGTTGTGATCATGTTTCTACATCAACTATAAATAACCATGGTAACAGTGGATTTTTCTTGTTGTTATTGTTGTTTTGCTTTGTTGAACAGAGTTCTATCAAACATAATATAACATATTACAATTATACTACTTAATCTATTATAATGAGTAGTAATCAATTGTCTATAATGAATCAATTAAATTCTATAAATTTATATCAATCCAATAAAGAATATCAAATGCCAATGATTTCTACATTAAATGATTTCATTGAAACTATAAGAATAATATTTAATAAAGATCAGATTGATATCAATGAAGTATATACAATTTTAAAGAATTTTCAATGTGATTTCTCAGAATGGAACAAATATATATTTTATAATAAAACAAAGTAAGTTAACCTGATTTACATTCTAAACTGATAACAATCTAAGGATCATGGAAATATTAAAGATATTAAGATCTTGATTGAGATCATGAACCGATTGATGTTAGACCACCGTTGGAAACTTGGAAGCACGGGACGGTCGTTTCGTTCTATTGTGGAACTCCTCATTGGCAGTGTGCATCTACGATCCTGGCCGTCCAGTGCTTCCAGGTTTTCAATGGTGATCTAACATCGATCGGTTCATGATGGTAAAAAAGATTTCTAGCTCAAATGGATGATTTTTTGTTGGGGACGTTAGATTTATAGAACTCACTTGCAAAAGGACTTAAATCTGTAATTTCATTTAGAAAATTTGAATTTCTTTTTTTCGCTCTAAAAGCCCTCATTTTCACCATTATGTCATATTTCCCACTTGGGAGAATCTTAAATGCTATTGGTCCGTTGAGTTTTTTAGTGTGCTATTTTGTAGCTCTCCTCAAGGATGGTTTTGTGCAGTATATATACACGTTATGATTTGTGTCTGTTGTTATCACTCGTGCTTCTGATTATTTGCGAAATATACTTCCCCATTTCAAGCTTGGGCTTTTTTCTCTAGTTAACGGGACTGGAATGCATCAAATAGCTAGCTTATTGGTCTTTGGTCACCGAGTCTTTGTTCCGTTCGCAGTTTAATTGAACTCGTAACCGCTTTAAACCTAACAATTTTGATAAAGTTTTATTCTTTTAGTTGAATGGTTTAGATGTGGAGATTTCATTGTTCTTCTCAATGAAATCATCAGAACAAACTTCAAATTTGTACTCTACGTTCAAATCATCTAGCTCAAAGAACAAAAGTTCATCAAAATAATCGAGATATGTTTTTGTTAGATTTTTTTGAAATTCTCTATAGTACACATTCATTATCTTATTCGCTTCAAGACCTGTATATAATCATGTACCCACCATCCTGAACAATAGAAATAAACTAAACTAAATAGATGCCTGGTAATCTCGTTGATAGTATTCTGTGGTAAAAAGAATGACTTTTCTGATTCAAATGGATATAATACTTACCTATTTTTGGTCAGTTACTATATACATTGAAAACCTACTTGCTCGTGGATCTAATTCCATGTTTGTTATGACTGATTGACTTTAGTATTCATAAAAACTGGCATTTCCATAACAATTATTCGTTTTTCAGGAGGGATTTTGTGAAGATTTCAGAACTTTCATTAGTTGAAATCATGAGTCAATTGAAGCTAGACCATCATGGAAAACCTAGAAGCACTGGATGGCTGTTTCGTCATAGTATGGGACTCCCCAGCAGTAAGCTGTCACGATTTTTAAAATCTCCACAAAACCCCTTCTGATAATAATCATCTGCTCACTAGTGACTGACTTCAAGAAACATTTCCTGGAGTTCTAGCGAGAAGCCGTTGCCAGTGGAGTTCAACCAGGTCTGTTATGAGATAATAACTCACTGAAGACATTGGTGAATGTGTCCCTCAATTTCATGGTTTATTTAAAGTTAAACATTAACACCGTTGAATGCTGGCTCAGTGGCCTATCCGTTTTTTGTCAACACATCTTTATTCCTTTTTTTTTCTTTTTTCGTAAATAAATATTAGATACACACGTAATTTGATAGATGAAGGTAATGGAAAGTACAATCTATTATTATTATGCTGGAGTGAAGATCAAGGAACAGGAGTACATGATCATGCTGGAGCTGATTGTTTTGTCAAAATTATAAAAGGTAATATTAAGATTTCTTTTTTCATTGAATCAAAGTTACACACACATTCTTAAAACACAAGTATTGACTTTTTATATGATTTTAACTTTTGTTTATTAACCAATTCTGACGATTGATAGAATTCAGTCAGCAATAAAACAGAATTGACAAACACAACATTATTCTCTACTCAGTGATTCGAGTGTTAAACGGTTATCCACCACAGGCAATGGATAAAAGGTTATGCAAGATCATGAATTGATGAAAATCAAACATTAACACCGTTGCATGACTGCTCAGTGGTCTAGACATTAGGCGTTCGTGCGCACTGTTGAGGAGTCCTGCGATATGACGAAGTGACTGTCCATTACTTACAGGTTTCACTGGTGGTTTAGCTTAGATCGACACAAGATTTCAACTATGAGAAAACTCGATGATTTATCAATTGTAAATACTTTAATTTTCCAATAACTATAAGACCGATTTGATGGTTGAATTAACTGTTATGACTGTCAAATCGATGTCTACTTTGATGTATTATCATATGATCAGTTTTAAATAAAAAGGCTATATGAGTTCAGAAGCGAACATCCCATGTTCTCATGTAGTTACGGTTTTAATTGATGTGAGTAGAATAAGTAAATGAAGGTTTTCGGGATAGAGTCCTTAGAATAATACACTTCTGATACGATGGTAAGAAAAGTTAATTTTCAATTGAATTACTAATTATGAGTTTTATTCAACATTCAACATCCACTTTTGATTCAACCTGAGGATCATTCAGTGTAGTATTTGAATTGTTTTCCCAGTAAGATATTTTCTTCTGTATAATGCTCAATATTCATGTATTCAGTTGACATGATCTATGCTCATTAAGTGATTTGTTATAACTGAGTATGTGATTTAATCCTAATTAATATTCAAAAATGGGTGTACAATCAATATATAAACCAGTGTGTTTTACACTGTTATGGTTCGTCGTCGTCGTCATAGTGTTTTTGGGGCTAATAAATCTTCACTTATACCAGTCTTGTGTTCTTACTTTCGTATCGTGGGAATTGCAGAGGTCCCTAGTTCCGAGTATAAGTGATCAACATTTTTTCCGGCATAGCAATCAGCCACGACCAAGTTATAACAACATCATAGGCTGGCATCATTCGATTTTACGATACAACATGGATTACAAAGTATGGATAAGCTCAATCAATCATTATATTTAGTTATTCCTTATATACTTTCATTCCTTTACTCATATCATTGTTGCCTATTTTACTATGGACTAATCTTTACTCAGTATTTTTTTACTTTTTTTGGTTTTGTAACATGTAACAAATATGAATCAATTCATTCTACTTTTACGTTACTATGGTTATCCAGCTGACTATTTATCCTATTCGTATATAAGTAATAGATTAGTGATTATTACAGTTTCATAACGTCATGTATTTCATTGATCTGATTAACCACATAGTATCACGAATTGATGCGTTTTATCATCCGATTGCAGTCGCTTTTCATATTGTAGGACAAAGCTATTACAAAAAATAATAAAATTAAAGTTAGAAGGAACTGAAATATAACGTATGTGAATCATAAGTATGTATATACAATTGTTCTTTAAATCCAGACAAGATTGAACAAGTTGAGACTGACTCCTTCCAATAGCGTATCTTGTTCATGATATCTCACCTATAGTTTTACTTTGATGTGACATGTAATCATAGCCACATGCCATGTCTACACTCTCTCAACCTACCAACAACCCATACATAAAAGAATATAACTTAAAATCATGTACATAAAGCTACTATACCTAATAACTTTCGATGAGAGCAAGAACAAAGATTTAAGTTAAATTGTTTTATGAATTAAAACTTTTTCACCGGTTAAAATCATGAGTCAACTGAAGCTAGACCACTATGGAAAACTTGGACGCACTGGACGACCGTTTCGTTCTAGTATGGGACTTCAGCACTGCGCATCCACGATCCCGCCCCCCGCGAGATTCGAACCCAGGACCTATCAGTCTCGAGCCAGGCGCTTAACCAACTTTTTATTTAACTTAATTATAACATTAACTAAGTCTTCAATCTATACATTTAGGTCAAATAAAAGAAACTATTTACGAATGGCCAAAACATTTCAATCCAAAAAATTCATATAACTCTACTAATAAAACTGATTCTCCATTAGTTGTGAAATCAGTAACTGTAATGAATCCTGGTGAAGTCACTTACATGCATGGTAAGTTGAATGTTTGTTTGGTAACTTAATTTGTCCTTTTTTTTAAGATCCTGATATCAGAATTTTGTTTTTGTAAACATTTAATATCAACCGAAAGAAGCAACAGTTTCATTGTAGTTATTGATATTTATTAGTATTAACATATTGTTACTTGTAAAATGTTCCAGATAGACGAGTTTAGTTTGGTAAATTGGCTTCCAGTAATTCAAGTACATGGAATGTTTGAAAAACGTATCGATTCTAGACATTCTAAATTTACAACGTTTAGATCATAAACTCAATAAAAAACCGGAAATATAGATAAAGTACGTACATAATTAATGAGTAGCAGTAGAATATCAGATACTCATTCTGTCCTATCTGGGATTAGTCGCAACTAGATGTAACTGCATTCGTTTCGGTGTCTAAACCGGGACTTCAACCCATTACCTATCATTTCAGCAAAACCTTCACCTGGTTATCCACTGAGCTCCAACTACCTACAAGTCACTTAGCAAACATTACTTAGTGATCTTAGTTCAACAATCCCTTAAAACCAAGAATTACTAGTTTAACTAACATTTATTAACTGTATAATTTAAAAAATCTGAATTAACCTCCAATTCTAACTTGAGAATTGGTCGTAGATATCCTTAAAAAGAATAACGAAAATGAGAATAGATGGATTCATATCCACTGCATTAATTCACTGGTAATTCAACCATGTATAGTGAAACAAGAGGAAATGAGACACTTATGTGTAACCATACTCTCTGGGTCGTTCATGTTGTAACTTTTTGAATAGCATTACAATTTGTTCATTAACTGGGTACTAGTATTCTGTGTACTGTGACAGAATCCTCAATATCTGTTGTGGAAAACCAAGTGACATTATCTTGGATTGGTTTACCTTAAGAGATATAGATGTTTTTAGTACAAGTACCTGATAATTTATTAATAATTGGAGTTTACATTTGGCTATAGAATATCAACATTGGGATCTTGGTACATCCAGTTGATGAGTTACAAATAAGACGAAATTCAAAACCTGAGACTCATTGTTGAATATTATATAAAGTATTGTCAACTAGTAGTTACTATAGAATATTGGTCCATCAGGTTAAAAATTTAATAAGCCATATAGAGGATGACAATGCAAACTTGAATATTGACAACATGAAACTATAGATCCTTATAAGTAACAATGAAAACTGTATTCCATTGGTTGACTGTTAAGAAGTTCGAATTAATCAACTATCTCTTATCAAGACACTACATTCAAGTATCATAGTACGCCATTAGATGGTATTTCACACCAACCAATCCGAACAGTCATAGACTATGGTTTATCGACTACACAAAAAGTTATTTTAAATATAAAAAAGGAGTGTTTAGTCAAAATCACAAGGACATCCTTATAGTATGGGACATACTTCCCAGTTATATTCTATTAGACATTTAATAATACCAACAAATGATAACGTCTAACAATTATGTCGATGTGGTGTAGATGTATCATCTTTATATCTTCCATATTACTAGATCTTATTTAGGTGTCATAAACATTGAACCATTTGATATTACCAGAATAAGAGAGTTTGTGAAGATTGTACTTATTTCATAGGTTAAATTATAAACCGATCTTAGCTAGACTATCATTGAGAACCAAGAAGTACTTCATGATTGTTTCATCTCATTGTGGGACATCTCAAAAGAGGTCACTCAATACCTTATCACAAAGGATAAAGCTCAAAAGTTTTGATCACAAGTGTAAATGTTTAACCTCTAGACCACCAAAATGAAGACCTTCTGACTCTCAGGGCAGAGCTTAGAAGATTTGAATAATTTTTTATGGTTAATGTTTTTTAGCAAGTTAGTTTTCAACGGGATTGGGTCACTAACTCCATGCCCAACCCTCCTCTTTTATCCGGGCTTGGGACCGTCAGGAGCCCCCAGAAAGACTCCAGGCGGAGTTCTAGACCACTAAGCCTACATCCAATAATCTACATGTTCAATTTCAATCAATTTGTAATATTACATAATCATCTTACATTAATTATTTCATACACAACATAGCTGATATTACTTGACCTCAATGAATCATTTATCATTTCAAGTTGAATTACTAATGATTTGGTATTATATTTTTATTTTATAGATAAAATTGGAATACATCGTTTACAGAATTCTAGTAAAACAGAGACTGCTATTACATTACACTTATATTGTCCACCATATACAGAATCGATGAATTTTGAAGAGTCTACTTCGAAAACAAGTAAAGTGAATGTGATATTTCATAGTAAATTTGGTAAACAAATTGTGTAATAAATAAATGAGTAAGTGAATATGAAAAATAAATTTTGTTTTGTTTTAGTAATCTGAGAATTTGTTAAAATTGAAATTTCAATGGTTGAGATTATGAGTCAATTGAAATTAGATCATCATGGAAAACCTGGAAGTACTGAATGGTCGTTTTATCCTGTTGTGCGACTCCTCAGCAGTGCGTATCCACAATCCCACCTTGAGAGATTCGAACCTAGGACTTATCAATCTCGCGTCCAGTCCAGTGCTTTTAGGTTTTCCATGATGGTCTAGCTTCAATTCACTCATGATTTTAACCATTGAAATTACTATAAAATCCACAAAAACCATTCTGATATAAAATTGGAATTGATCAAATGAAAACACAGAATTAGTTTAGGAATTCATCGATTATTTATCAGAAATATGTTGACAAAATGCAAGATTCTCTGTTAGGAACCAAAAAAAATACAAATCTATGATTAAAGTTGTTGAATGACACAAACTAAATTCGTTCTCAATAAAGTAGATGTTAGCTTGACGTTCGTTGACGTTAGAAAAAAGGTAGGAGTGTCTAAACCAAGATCTAGAGCAGTTTGTCATATAATTAACTATTCGTTTGAGCCATATTGATTGGTATAGATTATCTGGTTGAGATTCCTGGAATTGACGTTATAAATGTTTTGTGACAGTTCAGTATGCGTCACAGAAAATTCCTGAAGGCTACCTCACGGATTTCCGTCTCCGGCAGTAAGGCCTTTTGACGAACGGAACTAACGCGTTAAGAAACTCCCACAAACAGGCCGTGCGCGACCGGCCTCAAGCAGTTTTTCCTTGGACTCTGTGGTCACGTTCCCAGGTCGTTAAAACCAACATGAATACAACTTCCTTTTCACGTTTCTCACGAAATACCCTTCCATGGTGTGGGCAGCCGGAAAGTGACACCAACCCTCATACCCGTAACTGCACACGAGACCAAGTTGGTCACATTCAAATCCATTCTACACCTCCTAATAACACTCTTATCTCCAAGACTAACTAACTGACTGAGTCAATCAGTATTAAATAAGAAAAAAGAGAATTCAGTGATACTATGGGTTATTTTAATGATCAATCCTTATTGTTGTGTAATTTCAAGCATATAAAGTCATGTTCAATTTTCTAGTTTTCAATATTTATTTTATCAACGTTCATTCATAATATAGAACTAACACAATTCAAGGATCATTACAACTTTCTACACTAAAATGACTATCATTATTATCGGTAAGAATTAACGAATTATTATGTAATAACTTTGATAAGTAACTAACTTGTATGATTCATAATGTTGTATTATCAATTATTTCATATGTAACATGGTTTCTTTTTCCTTTCATATAACTTTTGTAGAGAATTAAGTAATTCAACTTACCGGGATATGGTCATTTTAAACTGTGTTAATACAATTAGAAATGACATGTATGAATAGATTAATTTCAATATTGCATATATAATTTATTATATTTTTTATAATAATAATAATTAGAAACTATTATATTCATACAAAGTTTAACAATTCTATATGAATCCATTTGTCATTACTAAAGGGAAGGGGAAAATCATTGAGAACAATTAAATGTATTTCTATACAAAATTACAGAATCCATTGTCTAACAATTTGTGGTTCTTTCATTTCTATACCAATTACTCACTGTTCTCGTCCTTCAACCAAAGGACGTGTTTACTGTGCAGCAGTTTGTTCCGTTCTACTTTATGGCAGTGAAACATAACCGGTAAGAGTTGAGGATATTCGTAGGTTATTAGTATTCGATCATAGGTGTCTTCGAAACATTGCTCGTATATCCTGGGAACATCGAGTAAGTAATGCAGTTGTTAGGAAACGAGCACTAGGTAAGGATGGCAAATCAATTGGCTAAGTAGTGATACTTCATCAGTTGAGATGGCTGGGACACGTGTTACGTATGCTCAACCACCGACTGCCTCGACGTGCGATGTTCAGTGGTATAGGAGTAGGTTGGAAGAAAGCTAGAGGCGGCCAGACCAAAACATGGCACAAGTCCATGAAGTCACTGACGAGTGGATTAAGTCATGTTGGTAGGTGTAGACTACCTGGTTGGGGACCGCGAGATGATAGCAACCGATGGTTAGAGACCCTGAATGACATGACTCAAAATCGTTTGCAATGGCGCAGGTGCATACTCTTTGTGTTCTCCCAAATTCTAATATCCTTATTCCTCTTTGTCTCTTTTTTCTCATCCCAAATTTTCTTCACTGGATTACACTCTTTAAATAACATACCCAAACCCTAATTTTCACGATTACTGCTCGTACTCTTAATACCTTTACCACTACGGGATTTGAATGGACAAGTGCATCTCTGTGCTAATGTGGTGTAGCAACTCGAACTGATGTACGTACGAACGAAGTTCTACGTTGTTACTGACTGACTGACCCTCTTCTTCTATTCCTTCTTCTCGACCACAGTAATACCACAAAGTATTCCACTTTCGACTGATGATATATACTACTTATATCTGCCGATATCAGTAGCATACACTACAATATAATCAATAGGTCTGACGAATTCTCGTCTTAGTAAATTACTTGTCAAGACACATAATGAATGATGCAACTGGGAAACTTTTGTCACTAAGTTAAATGACAACAATTTATCATTAGAACAACAACTAATGAGTAACAAAGAAAAGTTCATAATTGTGAAAACTTAGAAAAAAACCAACGATTAAAAACCAACTACTTAACGTATACTCATTAACAATATCTAAATTAATCCACTAAACAATACATTTTCTAGTTGTATGATTTTCATTTTCTGGATTGGTTGTTGTTAGACACTAACACCATTGGATGCCGGCTCAGTGGTCCAGTAGGTTAAACGTTCGCGCGCGAGACTGAAGGCTCTGGGTTCGAATCTCACCAGTGCGATCATGGATTGGCACTGCTGAAGAGTCCCATAATAGGATGCAATGACCGTTCAGTGCCTCCAGGTTTTCAACGGTGGTTTAACATCAATCAGTTCATGATCTCAATCAAAAAAATCTAAAAATCATTGGAATTCATTGAATTCGGTCAATTCTGTTAACTGACTAATGTCAAGAACAGTAAAAGTTGTTTATCTAGAGTTCATTTTGTTTACTGCAAGTTATCAGGTATAATAATCTTATATATCCTACTACAAGTAAAAATATGCCTCTTCAGTGAACCAAATTACCATAGAGAAATTATACTAAGATAATGATGATCTGAATTATTTCAAAATGAACTATTTTGTAAAGCTTTATTCTGTATTGTTGATAGCTGAAAAATCTGTTTTGTCTTGATTATAGATGTTATCTTGATGTAGTGATACGAATTGTACGTCATAAAAGTTAGATGAATCTACGTTGCATTGAAAACTTGTTCCTTAATACCCTATTATGACAAGGAATAAGATTAAAGGCAGTAAATGTAAAATTCTACTGTCGACAATAGTGATTGTGATGAGCAGGATCTCACATGACGCTTAGTTTGTAAAATAAGAGAGATTAGATCTAAAAAGACCATATCTCACTTTGATACACGGATATCTGTTGGAAGAGAATAAGAATTCAATAAAGATAGGTCACTTGTAAACGGTCTCAAACAGCTGTTCCACAGACTCCGTAGTTATCATTCCACATCGGGAAAGTATTCTTTTTTTCAATTAAAAAAGTATTTTCATAGTCTCAGTAACTGGAAAGCGACAATCAAAGACACATTTTCAGTAATATCTCAGTCCATCAACGATGCTCTTCGTTGATACACTTCTAAAAATGTTTTGTTTACAGCTAAATATTTGAATCTTTGCTCCGTTAATTTGTTAACTAACTCAGTAATTTGAATTAGTTAAAGTTGAATGCTGGAGTGATGCAAGTATCCTCAAGATTGTTAACAGGCTTGAATGGGATAATAATAAAAGAACTAAGTCGACAGTAACGATAGACGTTCGTTAGTAAAAATCAAAGAAGATACTCCGAAGTTCGCGAGGTTTAAGTCCAAAAATGAGGTTCGGCGAAGAGTAAATCTCTTCTGCTGGAATTTATGTCTAACCATGTCAGTCACCCAATAAATTAACGAAATATTCTCATTACTTTATACTATAATTTTCAAGAGTCACACAGTGTTGATAGATAAGATAGGCCTGATCAAATCATAGTAAGTACAACCATTGTTGCAGTTGGACGATCTGGCCCTTCTATCCCAAACGCAACAACAAATGCAGGAGAAGACGAACAGTGTAGCAGCAGCCTCAGCAGCAGCAGGTCTCAATATACACAAAGGGAAGAGCAAGGTTCTCCGATACAACACAGCATGCACCAATCCAATCACAATTGACGGAGAAGATTTGGAAGATGTAAAAACCTTTACATATTTGGGCAGCATCATTGATGAACAGGGTGGATCTGATGCAGATGTGAAGGCGCGGATCGGCAAAGCAAGAGCAGCATATTTACAACTGAGGAACATCTGGAACTTAAAGCAACTGTCAACCAACACCAAGGTCAGGATTTTCAATACAAATGTCAACACAGTTCTACTGTATGGGGCGGAAACCTGGAGAACTACGAAAGCCATCATCCAGAAAACACAGGTGTTTATTAACAGTTGTCTACGCAAAATACTTCAGATCCGTTGGCCGGACACTATCAGCAACAACGTACTGTGGGAGAGAACAAACCAGATCCGAACGGAGGAAGAAATCAGGAAGACGCGCTGGAAGTGGATAGGACACACATTGAGGAAAGCACCCAACTGCGTCACGAGGCAAGCCCTCATATAGAATCCTCAAGGCCAAAGGAAAAGAGGAAGACCAAAGAACACATTACGCCGGGAAATGGAAATAGACATGAGAAAAATGAACAAGAATTGGATGGAACTAGAAAAGAAGGCCCAGGAAAGAGTGGGTTGGAGAATGCTGGTCGGCGGCCTATGCTCCATTGGGAGTAACAGGCGTAAGTAAGTAAGTAACAACCATTGTAACAACAGAAATGCCTTTGCAGTATTTAAAATTTTTAAAACTACGTAAAAGAATGAGAATGTTAAATGTACAAAACGCCTAATGTTTTTTATGTAGAGTGTATATAATATACGAATCAATTCTAACTGGTAATTACTAAACCTAACTAGGAACAAAGTGGGAAAATCTCAACAAACGCTTTACATCTTTCAAAGAGTTCGACAATATAGAATTTTATAGTCATACGAACGAATGGATATTTTTATTTCAGCTTACAAATAAAAACGTATGCAGAAAAAAATTCAGTAGATACGTTACTTGTAAAAACAATCCTACATTTTTCCACAAACCATTCATCAATAATAAGTTTTTTGATTAGCCAACAAAGAACTGTCATACCCCACTCATATTCTGAGAGTACTGGGAGAATGAATTATTTGCTTCGTAGCTATCATATACCATTATAATACGACAATAGGACAAGTGATCGAGGGTATGCTATCACAAAACTGAATACTCGATTGATACGGTATACAGGCTGGAGATCATGTTATACCAGATACCAAACTGACGATTATTAATGAGGAACTAGATTGCGGTTAGACAATACTCTATTCGATACTATTACTTACTCTGTATGTCCAGAGTAGAAGTCAATAGTAGAAGGAATACAGGATACGTGTTTCGTTCTATTTATAAATTATTAGCTAGACGTATCTGCATTTCAGTGTTGATGGTTACACAGTGATTCAGATATAATACATATCGCCTTAAACACTCACCACGTTAATCACTAGCTTGTGTAACATGTACGATTTTTAGATCATTATTATTAAACGTTTAAATTATCCCGCTGTTTATTATGACCCATAAACCATAATTAATTGATTAACTAAATTGTACAAATTTATATGGTATGTAACAGAAATAAAAGAACGGAAATTCACCCTTAAATAGAATAATTTATTGTTGATCTGTACATAAATGTGATGCATACACAAAGCAAAGATAAACATAAATACACATCATCATTACTATTGATTCATATATTGTATCCTTTTCAGAAGAATAACCAATTCGTTTAGGAAACAAGAAAAATAAACAAAAAAGAAACAAAATACAATACAAAGTGTACAAGAAACATCAAGACAAAGAAGATGAAGAGTGAAGGGTTGGGGGATAATTAAACATAGAAAATATACCATAAATAATTACAATACAAAAATTAGCATAGACAAAAATGGTCATGGTCTCATTATTCAAACATCATTTTTTTTAAAAAAAGGGAAAAGATAAACTCAAAAAAGTGCTGTATTAGCAAAATAACAAAACGTAACGAGAGAATGTAAAATTCAGGCTAAAAATCATGATTATATTTTTCCTCTCTTTGTAAATTATATCCCCTATGTTAAACAGTTTTGTGTAACACATGTATACTACTTAGCTTAAAATAAGTAGTAAAAATAAATCACCGAAAATGACGAGAGAAA